AATCATTATTTCTTTTCATCATTATTATCCGATTCTTTTTTAATGACATATTAGGTAACATTGGATTAAATTAGGATTGGATTCTACCATATACTACAACATATTTCATATCTGTTTTATAACATGAAGACATAAAATATAATTTATTGATATTTTTATATAAAAGGTGAAAAATTTCAAAGTTTTTTTTATAAACATTTAAAGAATCTATTGGTATGAAAAGAACCAACCAGAACTATGGCTAACTTTGAGTGGAATTCAACCAATTCTGATACTTACGTTCTGCTAAGCCAGTGGTCGGTAAAGTGCTCCAGAGCCGCATGTGGCTCTTTGGCTCCTTAAGTGCGGCTCTGGCACAAATATCCACGGAGGCGCAACGACATACAAACCTGACTTACTCAAACTTTCCAAGGAGATGCAAGCACATTGTTCGCATTAATAAATATTGATTAAGTATGAAATTTAGTTTTATTTAGTGCACTACTTATTTAGTGTAATAAAAGTTTCTTAAACAAGAAGATTTGGCTCCCATTTTTTGTAATGTTCATATTTGTCTCTTTGGCTAATAAATTTTCCGACCATTGCAATCATAACATAAACTTTACATATCTCTTTGTGAGTATTCATACATTGCTGTGGTTCACGTTTCAAGTGGAAAAAATGAAAATTTAACTCTAAAATTTTAGTCTTTTGTTTGGATAGTATAATAGATTGAATTGATATAAAACGTGCTTATGAAAGCTGAATTTATGAGGAATGTAGTGAGTTTAATTCATTTGCTGTAATTTATGTTCCAATTTTGTTCCAAAAAAATTATAAATTAAAAAGGAATGTTTTTACTACTAAAGTCGGAAACTATAACAGATTGAATAGATTCAAGAAAGCTGGATATTTGGGAAACGTACCGTGTATTCTTGTAATATAGAAACTTTATTGATTCTTTGTATCATTAAATTTTTGAAATTAAATTTCATTTATTAATACTTTTTATTTGAGATTTATTTCACTTTATTATTTCAATTAATTGCTTTCCTTTTTGACTATTTGTGTTAGATCCAACAGATTTCACTAAGTTACTTTACAGAATTGAAGTGTAACTTTAAGTTTATTTCAATTTCTTTGAATGTACTTATTTTTTTACGAATAAACGTGACTTGTTATTATTGGAACTGCTACATTATATATTTATTAATGTATTAGATAAAATGATGATATTATTGGAAATATATTAATTTGTGAAGACGCTATTTTATTTAGAATATTTTGCAAATAATTATTAATTAAAAGTATGATAATTGAAATTAGTCGAGTAATAGTATAAAATAAAACGTTTTCAAGGTTCTTCGAATATTTGCTAGTAATCGATATCCGTAACGCATACACATTACATAACTCTGTTTTTCTATTAATATGTTTTATTTATAAGTAAAGATGTTAAGTTATTTGTATTAAATGAAATGATTTGAAGAAGTGGCGTGTCGGGCACGTGAGAATAATGGTCGAAGAAGAAATGCAGTCGTCAATATTAGTAATGGCCAATTAGCATCGAGCAAACGTGTTTTAATAACGTGCCAACTACGTGATATATCATCGGATCCAGAAGATCGAAACCTCATCTTCACGGATTGCGTGAAAACAAACGCTTTTCGCGTTGAGTAATGGCGACGCCTTTGATTTATTACGATCGAAATTACGAACAAAAATAAAGGAGATGTTAAAAACAGTGAGAAGAAAAAGATGGAAACAGAGAGAGAGAGAGATGCGAGAAAATAAAAGAGCGGATAAAGTCCATAAAGAAGGCATCTGTTTATGAGCATCTCGATTGAATATAAATCAACTGGGTCTTTTGATTAAATTGCGGCCTCCGATTGCGATGCGATTCGCTTAATTGAAATATTAAAATTGTATTTGTTTGGTTTTGTTTGTTTTGTTTTTCTTTTGAGACGTCCTCCTTTTGGTTCGTTCGATCACCGTTCTTACGTAATGTCCGTCATTTAATAACAATTAGTTGGCAATTGGATTATTGGAACGCGTGTGTCTCGGTTTATTGATGGGATCGGTGTCTGCATTGAATTTGATCGAGTTAAACGTATTACGTCAACCGTATTGACTGATCCTTAAAAAATGGTCCAAGAGTTCGAATATATCTAATTACGTTTTTATTGATTATTTTTATGATAAATATCGAATTACTCATATCTCTCTTTTTACACCATACTTTCTTTGCACGTTTTCGCATTTATGCCTTAAAAAAAAAAGAAATAATTTTTTGCCCTTAAATATTTTTGTTTGATTTATGTACCTTAAACAAAAATTTATAAAAAAAACATAATTAATAAACAACAAAATAATTTTTAAATAATATTTTTTCAATTTACACGTTTTTCTCAGTAACCTAACTACCGTGTAAATAATAATTTCTTTTATTGATATTTTATTTTCCGTTAACTTAAATTTTAATTTCAAATTATTTTGTTTGTAATTTCTATTTTTGGTTTATATTTGTTTTCATTTCGGAAAAGTTCATTTTCTTGCTTGTAAAAGCATTGTTTTCATTTTAGTGATTTGTTTCAGAAACTATAACAGATTGAATAAATGCATACGAAAGTTTGATGTTTGGGGAATGTAGCGAGTATTCATACATTTCTGCATTTTCTCGGAAACTATAAAAGATTCAAAACTGAATGATTTCATTTTCATTTAGTTTTTTTCTAAGCACGTATTAATTTCCATTTATTATGTTCTAGTTTTTATCAGTTTTATTAATATTACTTTAAATTTAGTTTAAGCCTACAATTCTAAATGCATCTTATTATTTTATTCTAGTTTGATTCTATTAAATTTATTATTAGTTTAATGTTAATAAAAATTTAATTATCTTCCATTTCTTTTTCTATTTTTTAAAATTTTGTTAAGTAAACCATAAATTAGCATAAAATCTTTAAAAAATATGAAGGTAAAACAACAAAAATTTTGGACCTTTCCTCAAGCATAACACGACGAATTACAGTTTCTGTTTAAACAATTCTTATTGGGTCATGAAAACAGTGAGTTTCGAACAGTAGATAAGAGAGTCATAAAATGTTAGTGGCAGCTGCGAATCATATCACCAAAGGCTAGATTTTTTGTAAATTTATTATTTATATTGGGACATTTTTATAATTATTAAGATCTTTGCACTGAGACTGCGCGTATGCTTGTAACAAGATGATACTGGTATATCATTATGTGCAGGTTTTTACAAGTTCAAAATGTATTGCGACCACAAAGCGAATGCCTACATCCTACAACTTACACAATTTTATAAACATATATAATTTTTTTTTACTTCCTAGGTACTTTTATAAATAATGTATATGTCTTTATATTATAAGATAGTATAATGTAAGTAAATAGGTACTATCAGTGTATGTTGAGATCCACTATCCTGGATCCCCATTTTCATTTCATGAACCCCAAATTTTTTTTTTCGCTGACGTAGACCCTTGCAGGTTGTCCTAGACCCCTGGGGGTCGATATAGACCACTTTGGGCTAGACGAATAATTGGCAACACGCACCTTTTTTCGTTCTCCACATTTATATTGGTTCTAAAGTTCAGGACCAAGTAAACTTTTTTGTTAACAGATATTTTTTTTATCCAAATTTATACAAATAAAAAATGAGCACGAGAATTAGGGCGTATCGTTTGAAATCTAGATTTTTAAATAAAAAAAAGTATATGGTGAATATTACTCGTAATTTCACAAGAAATTCGTTTATATATTGTGTAGTATATATTAAAATAAAAATTAGGTGATTATTTTAAAAATTGCTTTATTTGGGAAGGAAAACGTTGCTCATCTGTGTTACGATGAATCACCTACAGCTGCACACGTTCAAATAATCCTAGTATGAATACGAAAAGAGTTCGTTTCGCATACTCGATAAGGGAATAGTAAAAATTAGACGATTGTTTTTAAAATCGCCTTATATTGTAATGTAAACACGAATTGCCGCGAATCGTCACGAAGAATCAGTGTGGGCCCTTCCACATTGGAGACCCTTACTTTGTAGTAGCTACGCCACTGCCTGTATTCATAATAGTAGATACATAATGATCTCGGATAGATTTGAATTAATTTAACGAGCTCAACACTCGAAGGTAATTGAATTATTTATGCATTTCGTTGTTCGTCTATGAGCATAACGTGATTGATGAATATCCTAGAACTGTCTCCACTCTGTCGCAACGAAAAGCCAAATAAATATTAATATTTTCTATTCAAAGGCCAAATGCTATCATCAAAAATATGCGCATTCATTAAAACCCATTAAGAAGTCACAATCGGCTCCGAAATGAAATCACAACTGAGGTTTTAGCGAAATTTAAATGCATTTTGCATTCATCATTTTACAGTAATTGAGTGGATATAAATTCAGGTTTCAAATGCAAAATTCCTCAATGTGAATACCGTATTTCGAATTTAAACGTTGAAATGTTCTGTGTTTTTTTTTCGTAATGGATCCATCATGCAAAACTATTTTCACGCTTTTTAAATCAAAATTTGTGGACTGTACAAGTTTTACTGCGGCGCAATGAAAGTTAACGTGTTTCGTTACGGTTTTGACGTTGGAAAAAAAATATATAAATAAAGCTCGAATGGAGATTGCGTATTATGCAATTCGAATGGTTTGCTACGTCCCAGGGGCGAATATGCAAATTTCATGTTTATGCAGCTAGAACAAAAATAGAACTGGGTATGTTAATTCCTCTTAATGGAAGACACGAAAATGCGGTTAGTCCAGTTTTTTTTTCTAATTAAAGTCGGAAGGAAGTGATTTTTTTAATTAAATTAAATTAATTATAGCTGATTAATTACATTGATAAATTTTGTCCCTTAATGAATGGACGTAGTTTTAAGGTTAAAACTATTAAAGTTAGAGTGAATTAATTTTAACTTTTCAATTAGTTCCTGTAATTTATTAAAACTGATTTTCTTCGTGTGTTTCATTTTTTCAGAGTATACAACAGTCACAAAAGGAAGAGACGACAATACAGGGTTGTCCATCATTGCGTTGGGCTTTACAAAAGATATAGGTTATGCAATAGAGAGGTGAGTCTATATGTATTTTTTTTACTCACATGTTTTTATATTAATTTACTAATTGAATTGTGACACAATTTAATATAACAACAAAAATCTAGAAATAATTACTTTACAAATTAAATTATAAAATAGTTTTTCTAGTTAATACAGAAATTACATTAACGTTCCTAAATACAAATTAATGTGTTTTTGTATATTATGTAAGAGTAATGAAAAAAAATATCTGTTACATTTGAATTTTTCAATAATTATTCTGAAATGACAAGAATTGAGATTGAACTATCAAGATTGTTACCAGAAGAAAAAATAGATTAAAAAATGGAATGCATTTGCTTTGTTGGATTGTTTAATGTCTGCATTGAACCATAACGATTGTTTTGTAGTTTTCTTCTTTTCTTTGCGTATCTAAAGTCAAGTGAAGTGAACGATTGTAATAAAGACATTCTTAACATTTAGTCAATAATAATAAAAATCGTCATGGAAATGCAGGGATTAGAATGCCCTGTCAATTACAATTAATTTATTTAATACTAAAAATATTGTAAATTTTCTAATAATTTGACTTTCTATTAGAAACATTGTAAACTAGATAATAGACAATTTTTGTAGTTCGATTTATATTGTTATGCTTAGCAGGACAAAAGCGCGCAATAAAACAATCTCGTCAAAAACAAGAAACAAGAAGAAGTTCATTATTGACACTATTCTTATATTATAATTTAATTTTTCATGTGGTCTCTAAACTTAAATATTCGAATGTGTGTCTACTATTAATAATTATTAATTATGAGATCGTTACTTAACTATAGAACTACGTTTTATTGAAATTATTGTTTATTGATTGTTTGTTATTGTTTGATTAATTTAGGCGTGAAATTTCGATTAACATTCCATCGATTTTTTATTTGCTTTCATTGACACTTGGCTCAAATTTCCTGGTTTAGGAATGCAGGGTCAATGGGTTTACATTCCGCAAATCCAAAGGGATTAAACTAAATCGATGAAGTCCATACGCGACGTAGTTAAGTAAATGAGCTTCGATTTGGCCTTTTGGCAACCCGATCCGGGGTCAAGGGAGGCGTTAAATCATGATTTGTGTGGAACGCGCCTCCTCCTATCCTCTGGACCACCCAAAAATCCACAGACCAGACCTGATGTTCCCTGTCACCTCCTCAAAACATGGAAACTAATTATACAGCATTAATCTCGTACGCCCACCCAATCAATCCTTTTATTCCTTCCTGTTTTCTTTTTCTCATTCTCTACTTATTTTCGATGATTGCGAGTGATGTTGCTTCATTATCTGTTTCAGGATTGTCCTTCTGCGCGTGATTTCAGAACGGAACAATGCTCTGCCTTTAATAACAGGTTGTTCAAAGGGAAGAATTATGCCTGGGAACCCTATCTGAAAGGTAAATCAATCATTTATGAGTTCGGCCTTTTACCGAAACCCTAATTAATAGACGCCGTTTCCTTCTGTTCGTAATTATAATGCACAATCCGTCCCTCTATTAAAGGAATATAAAATAGATGTATTACAGTTAATAACATTCAAATTTACGCTAATTGAACTAATTCGATGTTAATTAGCATAGTTTTCGAGCGTGAAATGCGATGATTCGTTCCAATTTCGTGTGATAATTAAAAAATAATAAATTTAATTAAAAACGCACGAGGCAACAAAATTCCATCAAGTTCTACCAATTAATTAGATTCAAACTTTTCCTTTCGATAATTAGAATATAGCGCGACGAAGTTCTAGGCAACCCAACGTGCTTAGCTACTAGTACAAGTGTATAGAATACAATTAGAAATAGTCTTAGATTGGACATTTATCGGATTTCAATCATATCTTATAATATTTCAATTAATAATCATTGCTGTATTAATGCTTGATGAAAATAAGTTTATTTTGTTTTATTTTTCGCAACGAAAACTGAACTCGTGTAATTCTTGAACTCGTGAAAGAGAATGAACGTTCGGTGGAAAAAGTTGTAGATGGATCGTAAGAGTTTCGTAAGTTCTGGGTGATTTTTTTTCCTTTCTTCATTTTCTCTGCATTGAGAAAACCGCAGCAGCCCTTTTACCGAGATTACAGTCTGGAGTTCATCTTTTTACACTTTGAACGCTCCTTTATCGACCTACACTGACTTTAAGTTGTTATTTACAAGTGTATCATTCCTATCAAGGAAATAACTTTTTCGTTTCATTCAGAAGTATTCTATATAGATATATAGAGAGTTCTAAAGTTTCTTCATTTACTGTATGTCTTTAACTTAATGATATATTAGTTTTGGTTATCTTAAATCATGTTAGATTAGCTTATTGGTAGTTTAGGTTATGCTAGATCAGCGTTTCTCAACCTAAGGGTTAATACATATCGAAATGACAGCTGTCATCTTGTGTCAAACGAGGAACTGGTGAAATTCTCTTATCTGATTGGCTAGTTTATGCTAGAATACATTAAGGACAAGGTTGTGTTAGAATACCCTGAGTTATGAAATATAAACTAGGTTTGGATAAATTACTTAATTTACTAGATTAGGATTAATAAAATTAATATTGATTAGGAGAAGGAATTATAACTAAAAATTATTTAGTATTTGAATAAAATATGAGTCGAATAAGAATTATATTAACCTATAATAATATTTAAGTTTATGCTGTTGGTTTATGCAAAATATTTGCGCAAATTTAAGCGGTAAAACGGCGCGTTGTTTCGTAACGATTTCGGTGGAAAATTGTGTATGCAAATGTAAGCCGAAAGCTTAGCCTCCTCGTGCGGTGAAACGGAGATTTTCTCGAAGCGAAAAGTTTGCCTTAAACTTTGAATAATGAATGTGGATGCATATTAATTTACACAAGACGAATATAAAATGCTAATAGAAATAACGTACAGCAGAAAATTGTAGGTATTTACGTGCATTATTCTCATTAGCGAAGATGTTACCGCTTTCTTATTTATATATTGTTTGTTTTGTCTCTTGCATTTTCTGTATTTTTTTGTTTGTTCTTCCTTCAGATGAAATTTCATAATCTTGTAAAGTTACAAATGCCCGTCCACGTACACTGAAATTGAATGCCTCGGCACAAAGTCGCTGTGTTATTAAATCCTCAAAGTAGGAAGCAACAAACAACTCGGATGGGAATACAAAAGCGCCGACACGAAATGAAAGGTCTTCCTTATTTTATTCTTTTGCTGGAGAATTTAATATACGCATTTCAGTTTTCACACATGAAATACGATTGTTTGTCTTTGAGAGAAATTTATGATCGATGATTTTTTTTAAAAGTGTTTAGATTTATTTGAAATTATTATATATTAAATTATTGGTGGATACGCCGGGGTTTCTTGGTTTAATTTCAAATTTAATTGGTGGATTTGAAATGATTTTTTTATTTTGTGTCTTTGAAATCCAACTCTGAATTATTGATGAAATTAGTGTATATTTTACGTGTATAGCGACAATTACTTGACAAGTTACTTATCTTTGATGAGCAGTTCTGAAATGACGTACAAATTGTAGTTTACTTGCTAGTATATTATACTCTATACATGACAAGTAATCTACAAGTAACTTTGTTGTAGATGAGCAGTTCTGAATTGGCGTTTAAATTGTAATTTTCTTGTTAATAATTGATGAAATTAATGTATATTTTATACTAAATGTGACAAGTATTTAATAAGTCCCTTATCTGCGATGAACAACTCTGGATTGATTTTAAAATTGTAATTTACTTGCTTACAAGTAACTTTGTCTTATATGAGCAGCTCTAAATTGACGTTTAGATTATAACTATCATATTCAAGTAATCGATGAAGTTAATGTAAATTTTACTCTAAACGTGTCAAGTACTTATACAAGTGACTGTCCTTTGTTGAACTACTTTAAATTGACGTGTAAAATGTATTTTGTTTTTGATAGGAATCGATGAGTGCGCCCTGAACTGTTTGGCGGTCGGAGGTGGTTTCTACGCGACCCTGAACAGGACCGTCGAGGATGGAACATCCTGTTTCAAACCTACCACGTACAGCGGAAAAACCGCCCCCATCGGAACGAGGGGTGTCTGCGTGGATGGATCTTGCAAGGTAAGGAAGACTTCGATCCTGTTGCAATATTAATTCGGAAGTTCGGCGCGGCAAAACACGGAAAACGAATTAGCTCTGCGGCCTTATTTATCGATAGGTCCTTTAAAATGCACATAAATATCGAAGGAGGTGGTCGATCGATCCTTTCGACACAATTGTACACTGTATACTGCATTCTTCACCGATTAATTTTACATCATCCTGTCTCAACGTCGATTTATTCGTTTTGCGTCGTTCTCGGTTTGAAAAGTTTTAACAATTTCTGATTTTATATTATTGATTTAACATTTTCATGTTTCGTTCTGAAATAGTTTTAAATCTTGTATTTATTTAACAGATTAACAGATTACCAGATTATTATAATTCGTTCAATGTTCTGTAAAGCAATAAGAAAATGTTGCAATATTCTTTTATTGAAAGATATGTAAAAGAAAATCGGTTAAGAAATATTTGTGTTCATTTAGAATTGATTTGCTGTATAATAATTGTGTGCAGATAAATCGCTGGATGTTGTAAACGCGTTTTCTAGGGAAACCATTGAATATGTATTTGCAGTCACATAAAATATTGCAATTTGCAGAAGTTGCTGCATCTTATACCAAATCAATATATTACGTGTCTTGTTGCCAACGATACTTTTTTTTATATATATATAGTTTATTTCCTTTGTTAATATCATGGCGATGATGAAGTTCGAAGTGAATTTGTGATTCTGAAATTTCTATTTTTTCATTGAATGTAATTCTAATTTTTTACTTATTTACTTACATATGCAATTATTACACTTTGTACGTAATTGAAATATTTATACATACATGTATACGTTATTTTGGTAAAAGTACATAATAATGTACGTATTATCGAACATACGGTTTAGCAAATAAATTAGATCAAACTTGTGAAAAATACGATGGAATTGATGATTTACTGTATATTATGATTATTATATAAGGTCAAGGTATATATAATGTATGTATTAATGAAGATACTTAATACCAATTAAATGAGATTTAGATTTTTTATTTCATTATAATTCTAATTTTCTCATTAATTTAAGTTAATTAATACGTGTTAAAAAGTTTGCTTACATATACAATTATTATATTTTACACGTCACATGTTTTTTTATACATTTTAGAAATTAAATTAGATTTTGATTTTTTTTTAATTTTTACTTGATTATAAATCTAATTCTCTAATTAACTTAACTCATTTAATGTGTATTAAAAAGTTCAATTATTTACTTACATATACATATATTGCATTTTTTGTGAACAATTCTGATGTGATTTATCTGTGGATTTTAAAAATGAGTGAAATGTTGTAGTAATAGAAAAGAACACAAAAGATGATGATTTTAAAAGAAGAAGTTTTTTGTATTTATTTATATTTTTTTATTCTTTAGCGAAATATTTTTTAATTGATTATATATAATGTGAACTTTATAATTAAGATTTTTTGGAATGTGCGTTGGAATGTTGCTGTAATAGAGATATTTATTGATTTATTATGCTGAAAGTAGATTTATCATGTGAATGTGATGTGATGATTCTTTGTGTACGGCATTGGTGTGAATTAGGAATGGAGGAGGGCAATTTGCATAATGCGAGAGCTCCGTTCGTGGAAGTCCTCTCCGGGGATGCATGTACAAACATTTCACGTATTTATATTTGTCCATTCCGAATGGTAAATATTAAAATATTCAAATGAAAAATAATCCCCGCATCTCTCGCGCTCGCTTCCCGCTTCCAACTCTCGACTCTTGTATAATATTTACGATCAAAGAACCGGACGGACGATTGCATACAATGAGCAGCAGCGCTTTGCATGGATCCTTTCCAATGTGGAAGAAGGTGGGCGGATTGCGTAACGCGCTAACTAGATTGCTCCTATTGTCCAGTCTGCAAAGCCAGACGTCGTAGAATGCTGCAATCGATTCAAACTTATTCACATTATTTTACTTTTAACCTTTTATTAGGTAAACCACACATTACAGAATTTATTGAAATCAAATTTACGTTGATAATAAATACAATTCATTGAAATAGTTTTTTTGACTGAAAAAGAATAAAAATGATAAACAATAATTGCAAACTTAATCAGTTATATAAGGAACTATATTCTATTGCACTTTTGTCTCTTTTTTTGTTTGTTTTGTATATGAAGGCTGAAAGAGGCGAAAGAGGAACTATATAATGAAATTGAGAAAACTCGTTTTCCTCGGATTTTTTTCATTTTATTTTAGAAGTCAAAGAAATTTGATTTTCCTTATATACACTAAATATATGATTTATTGAAATTACATTTACGTTGATAACTTTACGTTTTTTTTGACTGAAAACAGAATAAAAATGATAAACAATAATTGCAAACTTAATCAGTTATTTTTTTGTTTGTTTTGTATATGAAGGCTGAAAGAGGCGAAAGAGGAACTATATAAGGAAATTGAGAAAACTCGTTTTCCTCAGCTTTTTTTCATTTTATTTTCATTTTAGAAGTCAAAGAAATTTGATTTTCTTTTATATACACTAAATATATGATTTATTGAAATTACATTTACGTTGATAACTTTACGTTTTTTTTGACTGAAAATATAATAAAAATGATAAATAATAATTGCAAAATTAATCAACTAAAATATATAAAATTGTTATAATTCAAAACAGTATTGAAAAACGAAATTGCGAAAACTAGTTTTCCACTTGTCACGACGAAGAGTAATGCTTTTTTCAATTTCGAAACTAAAGGAATTGCATTTTCCAAGAGCTGACATGTTCGAGTAAACAAAGTCCAATTAATCATGCATTTTTCAACTATTACCGCTGTTCGCAAGTAACGCTCGTTATATCCGTTCGATCTAGCGCAGTCGTTTGCATACGAATGCTCCGGGTAGATTAAAAACCGATTGCCTCGAAAAAATAAACTTTGTAAACTGCAGAAACTTTCGCTGAACGAAGTTTGCAAGAGTTATTCCTGTTTTAGTGATACTCTTATTACAAATTTTCTTTATAGTTATAGTAATGTATTTTTATACATTGCTTTGATTTCATCGCTGTAATTCCCGTTCAAATTTGAACAAATTGAAAAATTAACACACGAAAAAGCAATTTCAGTGAATTTCTTGGAAACTATAATAGATTGAATGGATTGATGCATATGAAAGCTGGATGTTTGGGGAATGTAGCAAGTATTCATAGATTGCTGTTTCATTACGATGAAATTTGCGTTCAAAAGTGAAAAACGTCGGAAAAATCAGTGTTTTCACATTTTATTGTTTTAGCTAATAAATAATATAAAATTGGAAAAAAAAAATTGTTTCGAATGGATATTTCACTGTAAATGATAATAATTTTGGTCATCGTATATAATAACGTACGTATAATTGAACATACCTTTTTAGCAATTAAATGAGATAAAAATCATGTACGTATTATTGAACTACATTGAAGGAAGGAAGTAGAAGACAACTAAATGTATCATAAATTAGGAAATGTCTATCTATAAGAGATGTTTCTAAATTGAGATTTCACTATATATTTTTGGAGTTCTTCATCGACGGATCGGATGTACGCTTAAATCTTGTATAAATTATAAAGGAATCCCACGCGATATTTCCATAATTAATTGGTTTTTACGTTCGTAATCCGCGATGAAAAACGACCGAATAAAATCGGTTATTTTATTGCGTTTCTCGATTCAATACAAATATACTGTTAACAATATATATCTGCATACATAAACATCATATCGTATATATTTACAGTTATAATTACAATAATAATTATAAGTGAAGTTTAAATTAATTATGTTTTTGTATAATTGATGATAAATTATATGGTGCATGTTTTATTGTGTTTGATTGATATTGTGAAGTCATCTGTGGTAAAATGTGGGAGGAAATGGTTAATTAATAATTAGAGTCGGGAATTATGGAATTGTATGGGGATGTAATGTGTGAAAATTTGTTTCTTATTTTTTTTAACAATTTTTGTTTTTTTTTTTGGTTGGGTTGATTTAATAAAATATTAGGACATTGGTATTAATCGGTGGGTCTGCACATAATGGACCATTTCGTTGCGGTCTGACGGTTCCATAATGACTGGATGATGAGGAATTTTGGTGACGCGCCGAAATTAAGTGGTTCTCAGATTGAAACACATGGTTGTTACACTTTCATACACGAACAATGAAGAAGAAAATATGTTGAATAATGGTAGAATGATTATTGAGTTCCGAGTGATTTGGAGGAGCAACGGTGTCATTTTGACCCCAGTTTGGTATGATTGGGTATACATGAAAAGTTGGAACATTTAGTGTTAATATGAATTTCTATTACGAAGCATATAGACTTAATAACCATATAATTTTAACATTAAATTGTATAGAGCGAAGAAAAAAACAGTAAAACAATATAGGTTAAAGTGTAAATAATTATCTTCTTTTAAGCAATATTCTTATTATTTAATTGAATGTTTAATAACGACATAATCACTAATAATTTATTTATTAAATTACCATATAATTATTATTTATCAATAATTTGCAATATAGAGGTTATTATACGAGTATTGGCAAATCCATAATTTCATTATAAATACAAAACAAGGAAATAAATTGAAAAATCCAATAATTTTAACTGCTGATGTATACAAATAAACGGCAGAAATGAAGATATGCTACTTCTTAACAACGTTTCATTTAGAAGGAATATCGATAATTAAATTTGGGATTAGGATGTTATTTCTTGCAGTTGATGATGATGGTATAAAAGTAAGTGTTGAAAAAAAAAACGCTGAGACTCACACGAAGGAAGGAAGGATAATGCAATGCAGGCAACAAGATGATATTTATGTGTGGAAAACTGGTTATGGTAAACGCGGTATTTGCGTTCGTTAATGCGTCCAATAAATATGGTAAACAATATGGGCATCTATCATAAATACGGGCGAACGCGTGTTTCAGTTTATAATTGAATATTTTGAAACAATGCGCTTTTGCAA